AATTGAATATTAAAACAATCAATGTATTTACTATAAAAATAATAAGTATACTTAAAATTGTTAGTCTAACGACTAACACTGGTCATACTACGACTGACTTACTCCCTGTGTGTTGTCTCGACGGTGCCCCGTGCCACATCAAAAATCCTTATTCAGCTGATCCCACGCTATAGCAGCGTCGCCCGACACACACTCTGAATTATAATTMTAATTAAATACTTCTATATATTTTATTCAAATATAAAGATATATAAAAATAAAATGTGTAACATTCAGGAGTTCTTAACAATTTGAATGTATCGATGAATCCGATTGAGCGATAAAATGCAAACGATTCATATCAGTGAAATTGCATTTTTTTAAATATAAAATATTAAGAGGACCCGCATGAGTTATCTCCAGCTTATAAATGTAAAATATTGTGAAAACTGTTTTGTGCAAAAGAGAAACACTCAATCCAAACTAAGCAACCAAATCTTCACACCATTATAAAGAGGAGAGCATATTTTACACTTTACAGTACAACGTTATTTTTATTTTTTCGATATCAGAACTAAAAAAAAATTTCAAAGTTATTCAAGTTTGAAAAATTCAAAAATAATTAATTCTTAAACCAGCGGTTCTCAAACTGTGGTACGCGAAAGACTCCATGGTGGTACGCAGAAGGCCGTATTGTGATAGGATGGAAAATTAAAAACAAATAGTAGATTCTTAGCGTAGCGATGATTTTACAATGTCGTGTGTTTTTTTTAAATATTCATAATAAAGGTTAGATTTCACGGAAAATACGTCAATAAATAAGATATCGAATAGGTTATAATTGTTGATATCGTCGATATTTTTAATCATCAGTGGTACGCGACTGATTGATAATATACTTAAGTGGTACGCGAAAAAACAAGTTTGAGAACCGCTGTCTTAAACAATAACAACTTTTTTCGTATTAGTGATAGGTATCAAAAAATTAAAAACAACATTGCACGGTACATATTCTGCTCTTTATAGTGTGAAAATTTGGTTTCTCGCGCAAAACAGTTTTCGCAATATTTTACATTTGTGAGACAAAAACAATACATGTGGGTGTAGCGTTCTCTTAATTATYAAGTTCCCATAATTACATTGAAAATTCTGCAGGCGCAATCATTTAAAATACAATATATTATTATATTAATAATAAATATAGAGTGTACTTGTCTATGGATCTACATTTAACACACTTAGGTTTTATACGTTTTATTTTCTCGACCTTTTACATTAGATATTAGTCATTGAAATTTATCCATCAAGGATTAACGTCTTACGATGATTAGGGCAATAGTATTAATGATAGGTAGTAATAATAATCATAATAACAAAAAACTGAAAAATAKTTATTATTCTCAAAATAATGTTTTTAATCGTCATCATGATATTGTGCACATATATTTTTAAGACTTAGGGTATATAATATATTTTAATAAACTTACTAAATTTGAATTCATTGTTCCATCAATTGTTATAACGTGTAGATGATTAAAATACAGCAAATCAAAATAATTGTCTCAAATTATCAAATAAAATTAATTTTTACTTCTTTAATTTCTTATTAGCCTATTTATTCAAACTATGAGAAACATAATGTACTCAAATTTTAAGTAAATTTTGAAAACAATACATTTTAATTAGCAAAATAAAACACACGCATAGTTGTGATAATTAATTAATGTAAGTGGGTATAGCATTTTACACATCKATGCTACGTCAGTTATTTGTTAATGATTCGTTTGGATACACCTAATCAGGAAAGGTATAAGATTATAAATTTAATTGTTATGTAAAGTCAAAATTGTATAAGATATTTACTTAATACTTTTTCTATTAAAATATCATTAATAATTTGAAAACAACATATTTGACAGTAATTATCATAATATCATCGTAATTATACTTSGGATATTTTTATGATATAATGTATTATTATTTAAAAACAATAATCAAATATAMATTAATTAATTGACAAATTATCAATATTAATTATACATTATATCGTTTATAAAATCATTATAAAGCTGTATAATATTATCATGATATTATTAAATAATTCGATTTTTATCAACGTTTATAAATAGTTTGCAGTGAACAATTATAATTTGAATAAATAGGTAATATAATATTAAGTCTGCTTTTTTTTTTTAATTTCTTAATCGAGAAAGCCTATTGGATTAATGTTGATGATAGATTGGATTAAATTTCAACGTACGATTTTAAGATCAAATAATAASTTGAATATAATGTTAACAATACATAATTATTAGTATGTCACATTAATGCAACTTATTCCTATTTAACAAAAAAAAAATAATAATAATAATATCCTTGTTATTTATTGAGTAGTATACATTATATTATTAATTATTATCTTAGTAATTACTAGGTAAAGGCGATACAGTAGATAATTATAATGTATAACCTTACTATTTTAGAAATAATTAAATATTGTATAATAATTAAAAACACTATAACACTACAAAACTAAAACCTATTCGTTATCGAAATATTTACATTTAAAATTACTTTTATTGTTATAAAAATAAAAACTTACAMAAGTGTTATTTATGATAGTGGTATATCGTAAAGAAACATTACGTGCTAGGTAGGTACTTGATTTACTAGTATAATTGAAAAGGTGTAGGTATAAGGTACTAGGTACCTATAAACTGTTTTACAAATCATTGTAAATATCAAAATTATATTATATATCGWGTTTATTACATAAAATTGATGAGTTGAATTCTCTAACCTCATTTACATAAAAAAATACATATTTTTTATTGAATAAATACATCAATAGCATTATAAAACTACAAAGATAATATAAAAACTGAAAAATTCGAGTAATTTGATATAGAATCTGTTTGTTTTAACCATGAACTTGTTCACCGACTGGTTTCCGGTAGCTTAATGATTTTCTTATATAATAATACGAGTAAATGTAAATACCATCTATATAATATGACATATATATATATATATATATATATTGCATAATATGTGTATAAAATAGTTATTTCATTTAATGAACATGGCTTAAGGATTTTAAAGATATTACACTTACAGTAAATTGTATATTTGTTATTTAATTTTGTCCTTAATAATAAATAATAATATATAGGTAGGTACGTGTTATTGCCTTTTATTTAATCACGATAAGAATCATTAGGACTTTCATGATTTTCGAACACGAATAATAATTAGTGATAGTTTAATGTATATGTAGGTAGGTACAGGGTAGGTATACTTATTATAATCGTAGTAACCGACATCGGTTGTTAGACGATTATACGAATTATAYGATTATGAAACGATGATTTTTAATTAATTTCGTCATCAATCGAAATAACGATTTTGCATAAATCGAGTTAATAGATTTGTAGATTTGTTTAAAATAACAAAAAAAAAATAATAACCATCGTGAAAATGAGATATAATATTATATTTCTTGTGGTTTTGGACTATACAGAACGGTAGGCATTGAATGAAGTGCAGAATATATAATACACGCCAGTATATGTATACGTATAGTACCTACACGCCGATCGATGCATTATAATATTAACTACTAATATTATAATTTAAAACCATAGTGTGGGTAAAAGAACAACACGTCAACACTACTATTGCCTCGATAATTTATTATTATTGGTTGGTAAACGATTTCAACGAGTAAAAATTAAAAATRTTATGCGGTRAGTACATGCAGTGGCGATTCTCCTTCGACGGAACTGGACGACACTGACTATCGTGGCGAATCAGCCCAACGGGAGTACACAATAAATCTCTCATAGGATTTAATTTTTTTTTCGAAGGTGCTCAGGAAGTGTTCCGGTAGCTTTACAATACTCACGTACATTAAATATGATAATCTTTTTGTTATAATCACCTTCCGTTTTTCTCGACTTTACAGTGGGTATAACTACTAAATAAGGTGCAACATTGCACAATATTACGTAGATTAATTTAAATACATTATGTTATTTGAATCGCGCATTTTCAACCGAGTATTTCACGAGGCTTTGAACTAYAATACCTTATATAATATATACTTGTAATCAGTCATCCGTCTGATATAATTAGATTGTATAATTTTTAACTGAATGATGGTAATGTAAAAATAGTATAGATACTTTACCTAAACAGTTTACAATATTACATTATATCCAGGTGGGTTTTGAACGCGAGTGACGTTTCACCAATAATTCAATAATAGTCGATTCATTAACACGTCGACCCGCTGACGCAGATCCGTTATAGTTGTTTTCAGAGTAGTTTGACAGGGAAATAGTTCCGACACGAGAGTAGCAGGTAAAGAACTACATACGTTAGTCGCTATTAATGTAATGTGTTAATTCCTATACGAATATAAAAATGAGATGTGTAGTTCCTAAATGGTAAAAAAAAGGCATGTGTGTGTGTGTATTAATAAATTCATACATAACTGAAAAAATTGTATATGTAAGTTCTTACACGATAAAAATAAGTTGCGGATGTTAGTTCCTACACAGTGGAAAAATTGCTCTTTAATTATTGGAATATAATATAGTATGGATTAGATATTGTATCAATATAATTTCTCTTAAGAAAACCACGATGTTTGGTGCCTATATACTTGATAGAATATGACGATAWACCATTTTTTTGATTAATTAATCTAAAATGATTTAATGATTTAAATTTTAAAGACATTATGATCATGATTATCTATTAATTAATTTATGAAATGTGTCTATAGGTATGCCATTTTTAGTATTTTTTTGAGTCATTACAATCAGTTTGAGTAGATTTAATGTATAAAATATACTTTAATAAGAAATATAAACACTTATAATCCTTAATATATTCATGTACTCACAGAATGTCATAAATTCAGTGAAAGGCACATTGAACTAAAACTACCTGAGACACTATACCAGATGCTATCACCCACTCACGAGATGACCAAAAAACTCCTCAATTTCGTGAACTCAACAGAACTGCGTCAACTGATTTCAATATTTTAATTTAGATTAATATGTAAATCTGTAAATATAGGAAATAAGTAGAAATTAAGCAAGTATGTATAAGAAATTAATGTAAATTAAATATGTAACGCCGAATAATAACCATGCAGTTGATGCCCCAAACAATTAATATAAAAAAAAAATCCATAATATAGGTAGCATAAATATACATTTACTGACATTTTAACTTTTTTTACTGTGTATAAGAGCTTACATAGGTATATAATTTTTCCACCGTTTAGGAACTAAAATATAGGTACACACCTTTTTTTTTACTATGTATATAGGAACTTACACATCAAATTTTTATATTCATGTTACAACTAAAATATGTATTTTTTACCTGCTAGGTCTCGTATATGAAGTATATGAACATACATACATTTAATAGACAGAATCCCATCTATTATGAAAATGAAAGATAACGCCATTTTCGAAAGTAACAGTTAATGTGTTTTTATAAAATATTATTTCAACAAAAAAATATAACTATTTAACAAAATAAAATAAAATAAAGGTAATCTCGAAAATTCAATTCAAGATTACTTCAAAAATGCTTTCATTTTTATATTAAGTGTTGTAGCTCTAAAATATATAAGTAAAAATACAGTACCTAATTGGCAATAGCCGATCTGAGTTTTAGTTATTTTAAGTTTATAATTTCATATTTGTACAAAATAATCGACTACGGTTATGAACCATTTGTAAGTTACACCAAGTTGGTATTTTAAATATTATAATAATATAATGATTCATCTTAATATGTCGTTAAAATTGTCTATACAAACTCCTTGAGAATATCTTTAAATCAGCCATTAATAAAATTACTCACTTATATTTGCGTAGTTTATACAATATAAATGTATTTCATTAAAGTTAAGCTAATCAAGGGCTTTTAAATATGAATATTTACATAAAATATTTGTTTTTAAACAGAGACTTTTCGGATTTTCGGTTCTTTAATATCGGTGCAGGTTAATAAATAAATAGATATAACCTTTTAAAAAATTCATTCTATCCTTAAAAATGTGTCGATGAAAAATTATACGATAATACATGAAAATATTAATTTTATTAGTTAATTGAGTACAGTTTAGATAAAACAGTTTTTAAAAAAAATCATATTATAGGGACGCACTTTTGGATCAATGATTAAAAAATATTTAAGCTCGTATGAGCCACTCCAGAGTGAGTTCTTACCAATGTACGCCCAACCAGATGGGAAGAAGATTTATGAAGAAAGTTTGAAGGCTACACAAACATACTTCCCTCAGTATGTGATTGAGCTACATGGAGTGGCCGATGGAGCGGAAGTTCCATTTCACGAGGTATTTATGTATTTTTTTATTATTGTAAACAATATTAATATAATTAAGTATGATAACTAAATAAAAGAAATTTAAATATATTTCAGTTGTTCCTAATGGCATTAGATGACACACTACCAAAGAATTTAAACGCCTCGAGTAATGATAAAGGGCCTGTAGGATGTACTTCACTCATAATTAATCAGCCAAATGCACAGGTAAATCAATATAATGTGTAAATAATATACTAATAGTGCTTGTCATTTGTTAAATAGTTTTATCGATAATAGTAAGTTRMAAATACATTTTTGTAATGTATAATATTTTAATATTTTATTATTATTAGTGCACAAACGTAGGTAGTATTTCTACAAAAGTTCAAAAAATATATTATAGTGCGTATTTTTTTCACTCAAATAATGTAATATTGTAAATATTTAAATTAATTAATTTTGTAATTTGTAAATCTATAAAAGTTGGCTC